GTTCAGCTGCAGGAACTTAGGTCGGAAGGAAAACTACTCCCAAGGCTTTAAGTCCTGTCCTTTACACTGTAACTTCCAGAGACACCACTTCGCCTGCAACGCCTGTGAACTGTCTACACCATGTGCACACGCCCAGCCACTCCCTGCAGTAAAGGGGTTGGCTCCCAGAACCAACTCCAAGCTGCCTTTTTTTTTTTCATTCACCCAATTCACTCTTACACACATGGATGGCTCGCTGCTGCAGTTGGTTTCATTGCCCTGGTTATCTTGATGGCCTTTGGAGCATTTTCTATGTTAAAGATAAGAGCACAGAGACTACCTTCCGCTCAAGGTCGAACTTCTGCTTACCCTGCAGGCCAACCAGTAACCTCGCACAGGGGCTCTGCCCTTTGGCTGCTGTGCTCCCAGCCGGATCGTGCTGACTAAGTACCAACTCCACTCAGGTTAAATCACCAGGACCACAAGCGTGCTCCTCCTAATCCATGTTTTACTTGAGAGCAGGTACTTGTGTTCCATCAGATTTTCAACTGCCTGTAGTGTGCAGCCAGACATAACTTTCCACACTGACAAACGCACCAGCTGTTCTTATGACATGTCGTATGAAAAGCCACTGATGTCCCTATCCTAAGGCAGGCTTACAAGACACTGCTGTGAATTAATTCCATAATGGAAAATACACAGGGCATCAGTCAACCTTACTTTTTTTATCCAAGTTACTGAAATGTCTCTTTTTATGACAGCCTTTTTAATAAACAGAATGACCGTAACTCACTGAATTATGGCCAGAAATCTTTTTATGTAAAATAGTGCTTCTCTCTCCTGATTATTTGCAATACCTGCAATTATCACATGTTGCCCAATCAAAGTGCTGCATAAGGTAGGAGTCCATGAATTCTTTGCCACAGTCTCCACAGATGAGATAGTCAAATTCTAGTACGGGTGCTAATGGAAAAAAATATTTTTTAAAGGGACTACAATGATAAAAACAAGCATCTAGAATTGGTATTACAGGCAATTTTACTAAAATTCACATTATAGCATGTTACAGACTAGTTTCACTCTAATAAGTCTTCCAGAATGATACAGTACAAATTCAAACCTGTTACCATACAATCCCATCTCTGCCGGTACGTTTCTGTTCTCGTTCGGGAGTTCAGTTTTAAGAACTTGATTTCAACATTCAAATGCACACATTTGTTTTTAACTTAGCCATTGTTAAAAAAAAATCCCATTTCCCCACTAAGTACTTCATATCCCCTCCTTCCACTTCCTCTGTTCTGACCCTCCCAAAAATATGTCCTCATTCATAGAGGACATGTGGGTAAGAACATGAGGAAGCAAAGAAAGGGATGCATTTTAAAGAGGGTGGCTAGAGCAGGAAACTACAGGAGCTGCGCTGGCATTGTAGTTCTCTCAGCCCTGCTCCAGTTTTTTTCCTAGCTCAGCCACACCTGCCTCTCCCTAAATGTGCTCAGTGGAGGCCTGGGGCAGTTGGCAAGGTTCTTGTCCGTTCCAGCTGGCAGAAACGGAGGTGGATGGCCAGAGAGCTGCTAGGAGTGGAATGGGGATGGAGCTCCACTACAATCCTCTCCCCAAGCCCTCTCAGCACTGCTCCAAGCCCAGACTCATCTCAGCGCCAGCCATCACTTCTGGGCGCATCCTCAACGGGCGGATCACCTCCAGCGTCATCACCATCTGCTTTATGTTCCATGGGACACCAAGAAACACCGATTCACAGAACAACAGCTACAAGGAACATTCTTTGAATGGTAACATTGGAGTTCTAGCACAAAATTCACATTTCCGTACAGTTTTGAGATCCAAAAGTAAGGCAATGCTGTGGAATTTTAAGAACACCTGAAGCAGAAGATTAATGGTTGACATGCAGCACCATACATTTTAATTGCGTTTGCATTTATAGCAGATCCGATCCAATAAAGTCGACATTTTATGTAAATTCCGTCCTACTAGCGACAGCCGGATGCTCAGTACTTCACACAGTCATTTCATCCTCTTACATCACATTCCATCATTTAAGGCAGTGCTCCCGAACACGAAGACATTTTATTAAGACAATGACGTTATGAATTACACAGCAAAAATTACCCCCCCGTGCAAAGGCATCCCAGATCTACTTTAATTTATTGTTAAACGTTAGCCCATCAAAAGAAGCAGGGCTGCTAATTGTTTACACTGCTAATGAAAGCTGGTGCTGATTTCTAACAAAGAGATACACTGCACCAACAGCCCCGCAGCTGATTCAAGCAGAACAAAGCAAGACAAAGACAATCCCAGAGAAGAAAGTGGATCTATTTTGGGACCCTTACTTCTCTATTTGCTTTTTTGGAGGGGAGAATATCGCAAGGCAATGTGCTGAAATTCTCCACCGAACGATCGGTAACTTGGCGCCAGCACGTTTTATAACGATAAAAGCTGGCACTGCAGCAGCGCTCCGGTTTTGGCACAAACCACATCAACCCCAAAATTCCCAGAACCGACGAAGCCGCGCAGGTTTACTATAATGTCGGTCCAAAAATTCTAATTCCCCGAAAGATATAATGGAAATAACGTTTATAGGGGGAAAAAAAAATTAAAAACGTGCTATACCCAAGGGCACTGGCTGTGTCCCACTTCCGCGGCTTAAAATTCTTCATTTTTAATTACCGAGCCGATTTAATGCTATAGCCGATTTAATGCTGAAAAGAATCGGACGCGCCACTAATCGAGCACATCCAGAAAAATGTGTGAAAGAGGAAGAGAGGAAAAAAAGAAAAGGGTAAAAAACGGAAAAAAAAAAAGAAAGAAAGAAAGAAAGAAAA